TCAGAAGATTCTTGTTGTTCAAAAAAAGATAACCAAGTTTTTAAAGCATTATATGCTTCTTGTATAGATATTTCAGATGGTTCTTTATCAAAGTCTTCTTGATCATCTTCAATAATGTTATCTTCATTTTGAACGAGGGTAATAATTTGCTGATCCGTTAATGCTTCCTCCATTGCAATAGTTTGGTCAACATTATTAAAAAAATCAACTACCGCAGAAGTAAGAGCAGTGGAATAATCATCCTCTCTAGAAAACCCATCCAGAAGAGTATCAAGATCATTATTTTCAAGTAAATTTGCTTTATCTTGAAATTCAGTAGCATTGATAATTTCTTTATCTTCAACGGCAGGAAGAATTCCTGTTTTTTTCCAACAATTGATAATTACATTATTATCAACTGCACTCCATGCATCCGAAACATAACCAATAGCCTGTTTAAGATTTAATTTATTTCTTGAAAAAAAAAAATTAATACAGTTAAACCTTTCAACACTGGTCAAAATCGATAATCTGTCAAATTTAATAGAAAACTAATCAACCTCTCTATACTGATATAAAACCTGTTTACCATGCATATCAGTTTTAGAGGGGTTTGACAGTAGTGCTCTGAATAGTTTTCAATTTAACTAAAATAGCAATCTAAAACCTACAAATACAAATAGTATTAACTTATTTAATATTTACAAAACAAATTAAAAGATTAGAAAAATTAATACCATTTTAAGATTTTTCACAAAATTACTCGGGTTCATTTAGATAATAAATGCTAAGGTTACATATTTTACTAGTAAGCAGATTTTTGGTAATATATAAATGCTTTATGTTCGTCCTTTTTAAATTCTATTTAATTATAAACACCAAGACAACACATTTCACCAGTAAGCAGATTTTTGATAATGCATGACTAGCTTATGTTCATTCTTGTCAACTCCATTTTCATGTTGATAACAAATACTAGGATTATATGTTCTATTAACATGATCTTTCCTAGTAGATTTTTGATAATAAATAAAAGCTTTGTGCTTTTCTTCTTCAATATCAGTTCAACATTGATAACATCCACTACAAAAACATTATTGAAGATACATGTTTGTATAAAATTAGTATTTAGCATATTCAAGCTATAATAAATTTAATTGGATAATTATCGTTATTAGTTTATTACCATTGCAATAGAACAAAATTACTGACAAAACCTATCATGGCCGATTTTTGAATATAATATGTTTACTAATATTACCCATCTTGACAAGTTGTTGATAATAGTGAATGCTTTTTTTGACTTTGATTTTATTGGTAGTTTTATAAATTATTTAAATTCAAAATATTTGCTTATTTCATTTGGCTCCAATTTCCTTTTGATAATGTATTCCTATTTTAAACAATTAGAACTATAAATAAATTACCTGAATTCATGAATGTTAAATTAATAACAGATAAGTATAAGGTCTATCTTTTTTTTAAAAAAAAATAAAATCGCTTGCTTACCATCTAATTTTTTTTTACTAACTTCATAAACATTAAATTAATAGCAAATAAGTATAAAGTTTAATTAAGTTTTTTTTTAAATAGGATCACTTATTATTAACTTTTTTTTTACAGCTTCATGAATGTAACTCAGAAAAACTTTTTTCTTACCAAATTCAGTCAATGTCTCTGTTAAACAAGGTAACTAATTATTGCTTAATAAATCATATATCTGACAGAGTTAATGGGATTAGTTAACTGTTAAACCAAATTTGATATTAGTAAAATAGTAATGATAATATTTTAATGATAATTAAAAATGCTTTTTAAACCAAACTTAATTACCTTTATAATTACTTATTATATTTTTTAATTGATCGCAATAGAATTAAATAGTCCAACTAGGTTCAAACTATTCAGAGCACTATGTGTATTAGTTTAAAATATAGAAATCAAAAAGTTCTTACTTATTAATATCTTCACCAGTCTCATATTGTATTAAAATATGACGGCAATAAAGAGCTTTATATTTGCTTTTAAAGCTCTTTATAATCCCTGCATCCATTGGTTGTAGGTGAGCTGTTGTATTAGGAGGTAAAAATGCAATTTTAATATTAGTTAGATTTGAATATGAACTCTGCCGATTTTGTTTTTTGCACTTGTTTTGTTTATTATTTGATGTACGTTTTTTGCTAAATGCCTTAGAGGATGAACCAATACTATTACTCAATTCAACATCTTCATTTTCAGAACCAGAACTAGCTTTATCTTGATCAGTATATTCTTCATTTGGATCAAAGTGAGAGGCAGCATTATCAAGCAGTAGAAGAATTTTTTGGTCTTTAATTTGAAAATAATAATCTAATTGGTAAAGCCATTCTTCAAATATATTACTATGCATCCATGC